GAAATCAAATTAACTTTTATTTAAGTGTAAAAAAATATAGTTGTCAATCAAAATCAACAATCGCATGTTCATATATGTAATCATGGAGGCTCGGGTCAAGCTGTTGCCAATCTCGGCCAAGGACTTGGAAAGTAGTGTTGCCTCGCGTTGCAGAATCTCAGTCGGCTTACTGTTGCATTTTGGTTGCTCTTTCATGATTGTCTTAACAATTTGTACTTTGCTGAAGACCATCATAGTGGATTATGAGAGATCTACGATTACGCATTGCCAAGTACTGCACATTATGCCAAGCGCGTCGGCGGTCATTCAGTTCAATCAATCCAGCTGGAAGCTCTTGACTTGGTCTCATCTACCACTGCGTCTGCTCATCGCATGGCTATATTGGCGCTATCAGCAACGCGTGCTGTCCCGACACTCAGGCTTGCTGGTCCACCTCTTTGTGCTCTGTTTCGTTCTTAATATTGTCTCCAATATTGTCATTGCGGAGTTTGGCGATGAACCGGGTACCAATTGGATTCATGTAGTGCCAACGCTGAGTAGTTGGATAACTAGCTGCTGCTTCATGGCCACCATGTTTTATTGTCTGACTGGCAGCCAAAATACGGAACCCCACCATCGTCTCTCATATCTGCTCAAGCGTAAGCTGCTCGTCTTCCACTTATCAGCCAGTGTCGTTATTTGGCCATTGTATTTCTTGCATATAGAATTCTGTGTGCCGTTGGGTATGCTTGAATTCATTGTACATAGCTATACCTGATATATACTATTCCTAATCTCTACAGTGTATTCCCTTTTCGCGATTTGTGAACACATATTGATGTTCACTAATATGGCCTATGTGTGGACATCAAATCTCGACTTCCATAACTTATATATATGTCATAGCAAACAAAATGGATTCCATTTCAGGATCATCTGAGACTGGGTCTTAAAATACCAAAAAACTCTTTAATACAAAACCAATATAATATAAATGTACATATATCTTGGTTACGTTTCATAGATGCGAACTAAATCCTCTATGGTGATTGGATAACTGGTTACAGGACAGGTGCCCTGCTCCTTTAGATGTGTGACAATGCATTTCCAGCAATAGACGTAACCAGATACAGCGCAGGCAGTAGGCGTTTGCAGTGGCAGCAAGCAAACAGGGCATTCTCCATTCTTAGGTAACGTTTTCTTCAGCTCCTTGGGTAACTCACGCTCGGGCATGGCCTGCGGGTTCTGTAGCGTTCCGCCTAGTTTCCGACGCTGATCGTTGGAGTACCACCACTGTATGAACTGCAGGAAGAATGCGAGCACCTCGAGCATCTTAAGAAATATGTACGTCCACTTGTCCTCCTTGGGCGGCTCACTGGGATAGCGAAGCGTGAGACGCAGAGCGCGAAACAGCGGCGAGTGGCTCGTCGCATACTTTATCAGATACAGGAATGTGTGCACTGCTTTCGAGGCATTATAGACGTGAAATAAATTGATCAGTTGCGATTCCCAGGCGTATGTATTCTCATGCTGCGCACTACGAGAACGCAGTTTGCGCTCTATGTACGGCAGAAAGGTCAGGAGAGTGGCAGAAGTGAATTGCTGTTGGCGGGTCAGTAGCTCGCCGGTGGCGGTGGCCGTTCGCTGTAGTCCATAAAAGCTTTCGCCGAAAGAGGAGCCCCTTTTGCGTAAATACAAATACTGTAAAATCCATGTGATAATCGGTGATACCTCTTCTCGTACATGCAAAGTGCCCCAAAGCTTAAAGTCCAAACGAAGACCAAAGTAGTCGAAGACTTTGCTAAGGGCCGGATAGATAAGATTATCTAGTGTCTCTGCTGCCGATATTTCAAAGATCGAGGGCACATTCTGCAGATTTTGACGTACATTGGCGGCCTCAGCCATGCTGAAGAGGTTTTGTTGGGCTACCTTTCCTATTTATTAACCAAACATTTATTATGCGCCAACAACTGTTCAAGTATTTACTATTAAAATATCGACTTGATTATCAAAGTATCGATTATTTATTGGGTTAACGCCTCAAACGATAGACGCTTCGATCAGCTGTTGTCCAATTTTGTTTATAAAATATCGCTCGCAGATTTCGGCAGCTGCAACAGTTAAATAAATAAAAGTCTTAAAATAAAAAAAATAATATGAAAACAACCGCCGGTGGCTCGTCGGAGGAGCCGGCCAAATCTTCATTGGGAAAAATAAACAAAAAGTCTACAAAATCTCGTTCAAAAAATACCAAACTGGAAACTGGTAGCAAGACTTCGGTTTCAGCCACCAATGTTGGTGTACCAATGACCAGTTTACCAGCGACGCCTACTCATGTCAACATGGCCACAACTCCGACGACGCCAACTACCACATTAAGCAACTATAATCTATTTGATGCATCCTTTGCCGTGGCTGGACATGCACAAGGTGTTGGAATGGAAATGACCAACAGTTCCGGCAAAGCTGTGAGTGTTAAGTTGAAATAATGTTAAAATTTGTTTAAATATGCTTTACACTGCAGGGCCACCAAAAGACGTACGCCGGCTTTGATCCGCGTACGATAAAAATCTTCTGGGAGCAACATGATCAGACGGATGTGGAGCTATCGCAAGATGTTTGCGCCCGCCTAGCAGAGGATGCGTCATACAAAGTTTGGGAGCTTATAAATGTAAGTACATTGAAGTTACCATTTAAATTACGTTTCATTGTAACATAATTCCACAGAATGTCAAGATATACTCACGTCACTCGGGCGGCGTGGTAACCTATGATCTAGTCAATGAGGTGCTCAAGGATGCGGATGTGCCGCCCATGCTCGGTGCTATGGACAGCGATTGGGATTGCATTGATTACGATGGCAGCTATTTCTTCCATTCGGATAAAATTTTTGAGCTACGCGAAGAGTTTCAAAAGGATATTGCGCTCTCGTTGCCAAATGGCGAAGATTTCCATTGCATTTGCCCGGTGGAGGATAAGAATACAGAACACTTAAAGCAGTTTGTGCAGAGTCTGGTCACAGGTAAATGGTTTTTGCCAGCAGTACTGGTTGGTTGTCTGACAAACTTCTCTTTTAGCTGCAATATTTGGCGATGCCCAGGCACGTGGAGTGGCCATTTCACAGGCCTTCCAGACGCCTTTGATGGGCGCCTGCTATCGCGTCATCATTAGCAAAATGCTGCAGATGCTGGCCTTTAAGCAGCACGATCAGGTGAGCCAGCGCTGCTGGCGATTACTGCGCGCTTGTAACTACAATCCGCTGGCGAATCACATCAATTGTCGGCCGGAGTACTTCAACCTGGCCGAGGTGCTAATCAGTCAGCTAATGGCGCCATATGAGACCATCAAGGTGGCCGACAGCCGGCCGCAGTCACAGCATGTGCCAGTTGCAATGGAGCTGGATAGAGAGCTCAAGCTGGAGCCGGGTCTGGGCAGCGATATGCAGAGTGAACAATACGGAAATCAAGGCATGGACCTCGAAACCCAACAGCAGGAACAGCAGTCTGCGCAGCAGCCGACGCAACATCCAATTCCTGATATTACCATCACCAGTGATGCCTCGCAGGAGCAGACCATATACAAGCTGCAGCTAGATGACGATAGCAGCGAAGCTGCCGAGAAGCAGCTGCAGGACGAGCCACAGCAGCTCTCCAGCTACTTTGCCAGCCCCGTGGGCAGCGGCTATGTGGATGAGCTTTGCGAGACTCTCGGTCAAATGGCAGCACAGAGTGGATATTTGCATTCCGAATGCTTGTTTCTGATTAAGCGACGCTTGGCGAGATTTTTTGAAGGTCGTGCCGTGTGCAGCGAACGTGGTACGCATTTTACGACATTTGTTATATATTTATATATTGGCTTTACTAATCTATATTTTTTTAAAGATTTTCAGTACATTAGCCGCGCCGTACGTGGGCTTATTGCACTGGGTGAATACGCGTTCCGAGAGTTTATACCCTATATTTATAAGCTGAATGTGCATGATGTGCCCGACAGCCTGTGGCGGGATTTGGCACCAGCTGCCACATTCCTAGCTGGCCGCGATGATATACACTTGTATGAGTGGTTGGAATTTGGTTGCGGAGCGGCCAGTTTGCAGCCTTTCATGGTGCACTATGCGAGTGAGTGAATACCCTATAATAATGCGTTTCACAAATGATTAATATCTTTGCCTTCAGACGCATTAGAGAAGATGATCTCCAAGCGCTTTTTGAATGCCCGACAGCCCGCTTTCCGATTCGAACCGCAGCCAGGCGTACGTCGCTTAGAGTGGAGCACTCTGGCAGCAGCCATGTGCCATGGCGATGATCCCAGCAAGGCGATCAAACCGAAGCCCACAATGCTCGAGGCGTTTCCAGAGCTGGTGCTGCCCAATCTCCGGCTTAATTGCACCGGCACCATTCGCTTCAAATTTGCCGGCTGTCGGCCCGTTCTGCTTAAACCGAAGGGCGTTGGGGTGGTGCAGTTTATGGACTCGCCGTCAACGAACGGCGCCAACGATATGGCGCACTCCGATATACTCATTGCCAAGCGTAAGATCTACAAGCCGCCAAGCAATGTGAGGCGCGTGTTGCCCAACAGTGGCTACCACTACTTGCGCATCTAAGGCGTGGCAATAAAATCAAGTACACATAAATTCAAATTAATAGAAACAACTTTATTGTAGCACGATTTACTAGAAAGCCTCCTCTTGAGGCACAGGCAGGCCCGCCTCCTTCATGTCCGCAATGATGCGCTTGTTGATAATGTTCTTAATATTAGCATTTACATCTGGCAGCAATCCTCCAGTGCGTGCCGCATGCTCTATGCGCTGCACCACATCGATTTCACGGCGTGATGAAATGAAGTTCGTGACTAGCGAGTTATCCAAGCTGCCCACGCGTCCAATGCGTCCGCATCGATGTATATAGTCGGAGATGTGCAGCGGGAAGTCAAAGTTGACCACATGACGTGCTCGCGTCGTATCCAGTCCTCGACTGCCCACATCTGTTGTGGACAGAACATCGCACTCGCCGCGTTGGAACTCTTCGAAGCGGCCAATGCGAATCTTCATTAACATATCGCCATTCAAGTTGAGGCAATTGATGCCGCTATTATTCAAGAATATGGACACATAGTCGCATGTAGTCGACTTATTGCTGAACACGATGAGTGGGCGCCGTTTAGCCAGATCCCGCTTGACCAGGGATAACAAATTGGCTGGCCGATCCGCTTTGGCCATGCGCAGAAACTTTTGCGTAACATGTGGCATTAGATGATGCAGATTCGGACTGACGATTTCCCTTATGGTTTCCACGTCGATGACCCTTTGCAGAATCTCTCGCGTATTCGTGGGCATGGTGGCCGAGGCGAGCAGCAGCTGCGTGCCAACAATGCTCGGGTCCTGGACATGATTTTTGTGAAACTGTTGGGGGAAAGACTTTAGCAGCTGAATCTCTTAAAAAATTCGACACTTACGGGAAATCTTCTCAAGAAGTAGGTGAGCTTTTCTGTAAAGGAATCATCCAGCAGCGTGTCTGCCTCGTCCAGCACCACATGGCGCACCTGGTCCATGTGATAGATGCCCGTTGTGACCAGTTTGCTGACTGCACCCAGCGTTGCCACCAAGATGTCCACCTCGGCAAACTGTGGATTCAGCATCAGCTGCTTCGTGTTGCCACCCAACAGCGCTTTCACCTTTAGTTCTGTATCCGTGCACAGCTTCTGGGCTACTTGTGCAATTTGTGTGGCCAGTTCACGCCCAGGCGTCAGTATCAATATTTTTGGCGTATTTAATCTTAGCTTGCTTTCCTCTGGGGATTGCCGCTTGAGCGTCTTATTGAGTATGGGCAACAGGTAGGCGAGTGTCTTGCCACAGCCCGTCTCGGCGGCAATGAGTGTGTGAAAGTTGGCATCCACAACAGGCAAAGCTTGCGCCTGAATGCCTGTCAGTTGCTTGATGCCCAGCTGCTGTTGCAGGTTCTCCAGCAGTTGTGGGTGCATTTGGATTTGCGATGTGGCTAGGAAATCATTCAAGTTCTGCATCTCCGCATTCCGCTGCTCGCTGGTAATGGTCGCATTTAGTGTGAAGTGGTCGTTTTTGGATTTGTTGTGTAGCCAGCCCTTGGAGCACAGCGGAATTGTTCCAAACTTTGCGTCCGCTCGTTCATGTTGTAGCAGATTGAATTGTGTGCGCCGACAGCTTATAAGTGGTTTAGCCTTTTCAGATTCTATCGTCTTCACTTTTACGGCAGCTGTGGCGTAGTGGCGGCGCGTTTGCCTGCGCAGCAGCAGTGAAAGGTTCTTTAACATTTCTTCAGCTAATATTTTTCGTTTTCACTGCACGCCACAAACAGCTGTTCGTTTGTTTTGCTGCCGGTCATGTAACGGCCTAGCAGTGCTGTGAGGTACCATAACGATAGTGCTGCCCATCGTTATGTTGAAGATGTGTATATCGATAGTAAAAAGAATCGTTTGCGCGCGAAAGCATGGTGTGTGATATTGCTTTTTTGTTAAAAGTATATAAAAAATCAGTGAATCTATATGAAATATGAGTAGATTAGTGTTTAATTAAGTTTCTCAATGTGTGATGTATATTCATAATCAATTTGCAAAGTGTGATGGTGCTGGGTGAGGCAGCTGAGAGTCACGATCGGTGCACGTTAAATTTTATTTGTAAAAGCCAAAGACAAAAACGCATACTTTTTGTTGATTAAATTTTATATTTATATACCTATGAATTACTGTAGACTTTGTTTCAAGCTTGCAAAACTATTTGCATACGTTTATATACATATGTGTATATGGTATATAAAACTTCGCTGTTTATTAATTTTGTTGCATGAATTTTTTTTCTCTGGCAATTTTAACTCCAGAAACGTTAATAACAGAAAAAGTTAAAACTTGATTGTCAAATTTTCGACGAAATTGCAACGACAAAACGGCCCATAAAAGTGCATAAAGAATCTCCGCCTTATGGCAGCATAAGAGGAACTTACCCAAAAGGAATTCACTTTTATGTATGCGCAGCTCTTTCACTCTCTCTCTCTTTCTGTGTGTGTGTGTGTGTGTGTGTTTTGGTGTGTGGCTTATTTTTTCACTGTTAATTTTGGCAATGTTGTGCGTTGTAAGATGGTTGCTGGGTGGTCACGCCCACGTTACGCCCACATTTTTAATATGTTTTAAGTAATTTGTGCACATTTTCGAATTTTTATCGCGACCACAAAACTTTGTCCTTTTGAATTTAACAATGCCGTCAACTGCAAACTGTTGGTCTCTGTTGGCCTCTGTACAACGCCTTTGTCCTTTGGCCCCCCTCGTTGACATGCCCTTTGTCCTACGCTTGTCTGTCTGTCTGTCTGTTTTGTGCTCAATGTCAATGCTTGTTGGCGAGCGTGTAATGATGACTTTATGACTTTATTTACGTGCAATAAAAGCAACAATTCGGATCGCAAGACATTTCAGCACACACAGAAATACACTTAGAAAAAAGGGGTATTGGTATTGGATTGGGTGAGAGTTTGTATAAAATAAGTTATGAGAATTTGTCGTAAATACTATAAGAAACCCCTAAAATATGATTTTTAAAGTAAATATAGCTTAAATTTAGCTTATATAGTCAATCATTTAATTATTTATTGCTATTTACTTAATTACCTAATACATTGTTTTAATAATTAATAATTTATTATATTTCCTTTAATTATGATTTTTATTATTAATTTGTAATTTTCCTTTTAATTTTTTTTTTTTTTAGTTTTGAATTGGTAATTTTCTTTCTTTCATATTGACTTATTCATAATTTCTTTGAGTGCACATAAGTAGTACACATACAAGTGCCACAAATGCTTGGGGAAGTTTTCTTTCATTCTCAATATTAAAGCGATTTGCAACTTAATTTATTCCATTTGCTTCCTTTTCATTTGGGCTGAATTTTAATTCTGCCTTTTTAGTTTTGGGCTTAAATATGTTAAATACCAGCTGCGCGTGTCTCTCTACCTTTTTGATGTCAAAAGCCCACCCAGGCTCGTTGCCTCAAGTGGGTGTGTGTGTGTGTGTGTGTGTGCAGGCGTGCGTATGTGTGTTTGTATGTACACTGTGTGTTGTGTTATGTGTTGTTGCCATGTGTCTTTCTCAAGTTACTGACAAAAAATTTGCAATTCCAATGATAAAAGTGTTATACAAGTCGTGCACAACACATGTGTGAGCATTTTTGCATGCACTACTACACTGAAAGAAAAGGAATACTACAATTATGAGCTTGAGTACACAAATTAAAGGACAGAGTCATAGACTTGAATCTTTTTGAGTAAACTTATTTCGACTTTTACCTTACTTCTTGAGAATTACTTTGAAAGGAGTTTCATTCAAGGATTTATTATTTTTGTATGTTTTTTGTTAGCCAAATGTTGAATATAATTAAAATGTGCAAAATCTAAAACTTTATTATTACATTTTTCTCTCAGTGTACATTTACGCTTCACTCGATATGCCGCTCTAGTGTTTTTATAATCCAGTAAATGCAATAATAATAGCCAAATGCAAGTTCGAATTATGTTAATACCACAAACTGTGGCATGCTTTGTTCGTACGCTAAAAATATCACACATACGCCGCATACGCCGCAAATTGCCTGTGGCCACAGAATACGACCTCACTTCGCTGCGGCCATCTCCAGCTCCAAAAGATTAAATCGCAGTTGGCGTGAGGCGTGCGAGCATAATGCGTCTGGTGTCGGCTCTCTGACCGCTGACGGGCGTCAAAATGTTGCTGCTCGGGACATTTGCATTTGAGGCTAAGCGTTAAAGCTAGCTGATAAAAATATAGCTGAACAACGGTCGTGCGTAGGGTAGACAGGCTTGTTTGATTGAAATTTGCATAGCTGCAAAATTTGTTGGAAAATCCTGTCCGGTGCACTGCAGCAGGAGACAAGAGATGGAGCAGAAGGAGCGTGGGTGGCATTTGCGTATGTGCGTATGCCCAAAATTTAACATTTGGGCGCTCAAGTCAGCCCAGCCCAGCCCATGTCAACACTAACATGCCACACACTTGACGACACTCGCAGACATTGCAGCCAAGCAGCGGCTAGTAAGCGAGTGTGGGTGTGTGTGTGTGTGGTTGTGAATGTGTGGGCGGCGCAGCAGCGTCAGCCGCAGCGCGCGTGAGATGCATTTAACATTTTCTGTTGCCTACTTTTCAGCGTCAAATTACAGCTGCGTCGAGTGCTGCTCGCTTTGTGCCTCAGTAAGTGTGTGGATGTGGGTGTGGGTGTGTGTGTGTGTAATACACAAGTGTTTTACAACACTTTAAAATGTGCATTACAGACACAAAGCTCAACTTGACGTCGTTGTTTGTATAATTATTATATGTTTACTGATTTAATGTGCGATACTTGTAGCTTTATAGCTTTTCAGTCAAAAAAACAAAGGCTGAAATCGAGGCAGATTCAGCTGCTGCTGCTACTTTGTCTGTGTGTGTGTGTCTGTGTGCTTAAGGCCATGTGTGTTTACACAGGCTTAAAAACAACAACATTGTTGCTCGGATTTAGTTTACTGCTGAGGCTTTTATAGGCTTAACATATTAATTAAACTTGAAGTGGAAACACACCGAAAAACTTGACCGGTTCAACTTTAAATTAGATTTTAATCTGTTGCTCATATTTAAACAGACAATAGATTTTATGTGCCTGTGCCTTGTGCGTGAGTGTGTGTGGCTGAGTGGGCGTATGTTTAGTTATATATATAGCAACGGAGCAGAACGTGTTGGCATATGTGCTTAGCATTTGTGGGAATCATAGCCAATAGTGCTATACCCAGTGTGAATGAGTTGCAGAGTATATTGATGAGTTTTAAATGAAGATATAATAGATGATGAGATGATAGCAGACATAGTAAATATGCATATATCAGAATATGTCTATATGTTTCTGTGTATCTTTGTCTATATATGTCTTTAGTTTCTCTATTCATATAAATAATATGATTCAGTTATATGTATATAACTATTTATAATTCCGATATACATATGTTAGTTAGTATTTTAGTGAGCTAATGGTAAAGAAGGATGGAGATATTTTAATAGTAATTATTTCAACGGCATCAAAAGTCTATAGAATAGAACCGTTTATAGACAAGCTCAAAGTGGAGTATAAAAATCGAGGATATACAAATGTGGTTCTATGGAGTATTTTATCCATCAGCATATATAATGATGAGGATGTGTAGCTAAAGAGAGGGTACTTTCCTATTGAGCACAGCAGAATGCAGTGAGTCTTGCTGCACCAATGCTCACATATATAGACATTTCAATGCATCTGTGGCGCACACATATCTAATTGAAATGGGGTGCAACCGAACAGCATCGCATAGCAGGAACACTTTGAGTGGCGTTTCGACAAACTGTTAGCCGACGGGTAACACGATTTGGTAGCCTCAAACAGGGAACATAGAACACGCATAAATGCTTAATGTGTGCGACAGAGAGACAAACAGACCGACCGACAGACAGACCGACTGACAGACTGACAACAATGCAACCTCAACATGAAGATTGATATATAACGAGAGCACACATTTGTAGGAGTGTGTAGGTATATGTCGATACAGGTATGCACATGTACATGTGTATATGTTGATGTGCGTTAATTAACAACATTTAAGTGGTCTCTGGATGAGCTGCACTCAACTGACTGCGGAATGAATTCATAAGTCACACACACACACATATATCTTGATTGTGTGTATGTGCAAATTGACAGCTTAATAAATTAAAATGCATTAAGTGTGTGGAATAGATTTGCAGCAGCCATAAATCCATCATCCAGTCAGCATCAGTGGCAGCTCGCTCACTTTGGCTTTGGGCTTGTTTCTTTCTTGAATTTCGAAGCGCTTAAATATTATATTGTAATTCAAATGTTTATGGCCATCAGCGTAAATAAAAATGTCTGCTTAGCACCCGGCCGGCGGCACAGCTGCAGGTGAAATGCCGCAGCTGAGACACCGCCATGATATATGTTGTACGTCGTATGTCTGTGCGGTAACAGGAGCTGGGGTGGCTCGGCTACCTCTTGTAACCGCTTCAGGAGTTTAGTCTGCGTTGGCTTTAGAGATGGACGTGAAGTTACACATGACATAGCATTAGTGTAGATAAAAAGTGTCAGGATCTTAGCATATTTAATTTTTTGCTATAAATATATTTTAGCTTATCATTTGTCGCACACTCTTTAAATAATCAACTAAAGAGAAAATAATACTTTGTATTACTCATATAATATATTTCTTGTATATCAAATTTCGCTCTGCTAGTTCGTGTCACGAGGCTCACGCTCTCCATCCTAGTGACTTGTCAGTGAATTTGGGCTGCTTTTGGGACGGGCCGTAAGCTTGGCAAGCAACAAATTCGCACGCACACAGCCATTGACACGGGCTGCTAAGCTGCGTTGGGGTGCGGGCCATGGTGGGCCAGGTGGCCAACGGGGGGCGCTGACAAATATTCCGCACCTGGCAGACAACTACAGCAGTCAACAAACAACAACAAATACAACAATCGAGTTAAAAAAGCCAGCGAAAAAATCAAAATACATGCAAAATAGCTTTGCATTCAAAATAGGCGCGCATATTTATCAGCGCGTGAATATTCTCCGAGTGAGATTCATGCCTGAGTTTTGCGAAAGAGCTACCCCATTTCATTATATCCATTTCGTTGTTGTTGTTGTTGCTGTTGTGTTGGTTTTTGTTTTTGCTGCTCGCTGCTTGTGGGGTTCGACGGCCGATAACAAATACTTAGAGGTATAGTAATTTAAGCTGATTTCGACGACACAAAATACAATCGAAATATTGCGAGCAATAAATAAATCGCTGCACGCAACGACACAGAAACTTGGAACAGTTCGCACTCTACACAAAAACCCGACGAAATCGAACAATCGACAAATCATAATAATCATGAACTGGCCAGCTGACTAGCCGGACATTATACGGTTGCGTTTCACGGATTAGCAGCGGATTGTGCGTTACGCACGATGGTTGACGGATGAGCTTGAGCTGCAGAAATTGTAAAGTTAAAATAAATTTGGATTTAAGATTTTAGAATAACTGCTTCACGAATTTACTTTAGTTAGGAACATTTTTTGCCCTTAAGATTTTTTGCTTGTGTATTATATGTTACAGATTTCTATTATTTGAATTTCTTTATATAGATTTTTTTTTTTGAAATCGTGTATTTTTTTTTAATACAAAATTTTCAATATAATTTTCCAGCATACTTCCCATTGACTTGCTGAAGAGCTTCAAAATTCATTTTCTATTTATACAAACTACTTTTGAATATTTTTTAAGGGTCTTGTTGCATTTCTTATTTTTTTTTTTAAAGAGATTTTTTTAGTCTTATATACAATATATATTTATTTATAATATTTTATCTCATCCGACACTTTCACCTCATTTGTTTTAATTAATTAATTTAAATGTTCATTTAACCCTGTTATTGCTTAGTTTTTTCTTGAAATCGTGCTTCGATTCCCTTAAGAATTTGAGATATTGAAAAACGAAAGAAAACTCTTTGATGAAAAAAATATTTTCCTAAAATTGGCTGTCAAACAAATCTACAATTATGCTTAAGTTTAGCTAAATCGATTAATGACAGAAGGAAGCATAATGCATAGATTTAATTTGATTAGAAGAGCGTCAGTCATGGCAGGTATCAGGCCCACTGTGCACGACCTTTATCTTGTGCTGCCTACTCTGTCCACTCATTTGGGAGGAGCTGTCTCTATGTGTGTGTGTGTGTGTGTGTCAGCTTGTGGTGGGTGTGGTCAAACTGACATAGAACTGCGCTTCAATAAATTGTCTGTTATCATTTTCATGTTTTTGTATTGATGACGGTCTGCTGGGAGCTAAGCATTAGAGCGAGCTGGGGAGTGCAGATGGGGCGTATGAGCAATGTCAACGTTAACGAAAAGCTGGTCTTAAGAAGAAAAACGGCTTTGCTGTTGTGGTCAGGCACGGGCTCGGGCACAGGCTCTGGCAGAGGGACAGGCACGGCCAAAGCCTAATTTGCCGGAAATAAAATGTGCAGCGATGTGTGTTGTGCGTTGTGTGTGCAGACTTTACGAAGTCAGGATTCGCGTCCATTGCTCGCCGCCCCCTTTAAGATGCCTAACTTTTGGCAGGAAATTTGAAACTTGTTAGCACTTGTATCGTATCGGCACGGGTCGCATCGCATGATCGAAGCGCGCTTCCGGCAAATCAAATTGTAGAAGCATGCATTTTCGATTAGATATACGAGAGCACTCCTCCCATCGAATCCAACTGACAGATTATTGCTCCGACATTTCAAATTTCAATGCCAGTTGCCAGTTGTCAGTCAAAAGAAAACCTCCCCGAAAAAAAGGCATCAGAGAAAAAAGTAATTTTCAACGAGCTCGGATATGCGTTCTGTGCACCATGCACGAGGCCAAAGGATTTCTAGCACACAAAGTTGTTGCTTTAAAGCGAAATTGAAGTGCAACGCAAAGGGCAGCTGGCTCAAGTTAAGGGAGCCGTTGAAATGACACGAAAATCTGTTTTTATTATTTTTATGTTAAAGTGCCAAAGGGGAGTGCCCCAGCCGAAAATGCAGCCATTAACGAAAGTATACTTGGACCAAGCAGCAACAAGAGCAAACACGATATCTCTTCCTCTCTCTTCCTCTCTCTCTCTTTTTCTCTTTGAAAGGCACAAACCCTGCCAATGGAGCTGATGAGGTTGCAGCCAGCGCAGATACGTTCAATAAATTTAATGGACATTTTTGTCATTTACCAAAGAGTGCGGCGACATCGATAGCGCCAATGAGTCTGAGCCGCGGCAGGCAAATGTCGCCAGCATTGACGGAGCATGAGGGGGGCAGCGTGGCGCGCCAGCAAGGAGCTGCAAGCCTTTGGCTCAACAGGATGTGCCGGCAGTCAGGTCACACGGTAATGGCTGCCAAGCGTCGGTATGCATAACCTCCTGTTGTAGACGCTGCATTTTTGAAGAGCGCGCATAGTGCAGCGATACCAAGGCAGGCTGCGATGAAAATGTTCATAGGTCCAAGGTAATGAATAAGTAGAATAGAGTGTAAAGTATAGTGGCATATACTAAAATTAAACACGAATCTACAGTAAACATATTTCCCATATTTGTATCCAAAATTGAGCGCTTTGATTATGTATAAATAATATATATGCTAGATCTGGCTTCCAGTCGAAGTTTTTGCATTCCCTCTACGCCTGCCTGGTAATCGAAATGGAATGAAAGATGTCTCAATATTTATCAATAAATAAAATTATTTTACAAAATTCATAAGCTTCAAGCTCTATCTATGACTTTAAAAAAGAATTAAATATTTAAGCAAAATTTTTTAAAGAATTCTCTGACTCAACGAAGCATAGTAAATATTCTATGTTTAATAAAATATTGTTTGTGCATATTTATTTATTTATAATATTTTATTACCTTTTATATATTCATAGCTTTTAACATATTTTTGTTTACAAACTCACGAATATTAATATTTTCTATTATATTTTGTGTATTACATAAATATTTAAAAAACCTACTTTCTGACCTTTAGCTCAAGTTGACAATGATAAATCCTTAACTTATTTATCATTATCCACTAAATCTCTTCTTTTCCTCTAACAAATTCAATTATTGATTTTAGACGTTTCTTTCGTTTGCGGTACACTGTTCTTGATGTCAATTGTTACAGTTGCTGCTCTTAAGTTTCAATTCCACTTTCGGTGCCATTTTAAGCTTCATCATTCGCGTCGAGTGTCGACAATCAATCAGCGTCTTTCAGCGCCAGCTTTTTGCATAATTAAAATCTGATGCGTTACCTGTTTACGTCAGGCATTGTTGTTGCTCTTGAATACTCTATATATGCAGAGAGTTGGGGTATATTAGTTGTATGAGGAATTTCGTAAAGCTCTCTGTGGTGGGCTTACAAGCAGAAGTTACAGCCACAAAGTGATGCAAACTTTATTTCGATTTTTTGTTTTTGGCATGGGTACATGGCAGTCGAGTCTGCCTTATTATAAAGTATTGCTTTCCAGGTGCTCGCACACAGCCCGTGTACGTGACATTTGAATCTGGCTGAGGTGTAGACGACATTCAGGTAAAAGTGCGTGAGGACTTTTTAAAAAATTATACAAGACCGTGTCGAATTTGATATCTGTATCAAGTGGATAAACAGCAAAGCTGCAACACGTGGTTGCCGCTCTCTTTATACATTGGTCTCTCGCCCTCTCGCTCCCCTCGCCACATTGGCATTCCCTGATTTTAATGTCCGAAGTTGAATTCAATTAAGTTGATGAAAACGACAATTGGCAAGTGACAAGCGCTGCGAGAGTTTGTGATGGGAGTTTGTTGGTAGCTGTAAATCTGAATGCGTATTTGTACAGCTGCTGTCGCTCCTCCCGAGCCTGGTGACTGTCTGTCTGTCTGGCTGTCTGTATGTATGTCTGCTTGGATTCGCATTTTGATTGTCTGTTGTCCTTGCCATTTAAATACGTTTTGTATACGGGTGTGTGTGTCAATTAATTGTGACAGTTAAGTGCTGAGCTTTCTGTTGACGTGATGCCATTGCAATGTGCTCCGCTTCCCCCTCCCCACTACGCCTCGGCTACCGCATACAGGCATACATTCGCATTCATTATTGACCATCGACAGTTGCTTGTTTGCTGTGGGATACCCTGTATGCATTCAAATGGGAATACGGCGCTATGAATCGTGGATAGTATTTATGAATTGTGCGTTATGGCAATCCTTTATGTTTATCTTTCAGTTTGAAGTTATGGAAATAAGATACTTACAAACATTATACATTAATATTCATTTATCGATTATCGATTGCTCTTCCGATTTTCAAACATCAACCAATATTTAACCCTATTACAGAGTAACTGCAAGTTGTCTACTCTTCACCAGCGGCCTTTTGACTTGCTGTTGTATTGGCGGCTAATTGAGGGACGGTCAGCTAGCATTCGCTGGAGTCAGTCGTGCACTTGGCCAACACGTTTTAATGGCCACTCAGGTATTGACTATATTTAATACCATTTAATTGAATTGCTGCCGTTTATTAATTGCCCAGTGAAGGATGCAGCTACCAAATCGTATAATTGCCATAGCCCAACACTTATACATATACACACACACACATACACACACACGCAGCATACAAAGTCGAAGCTCAAAGCCGTGGCCAATTAGTCAATCAGCGGGCAGTTATTTTACATCGGCCATGGCCAGTGAAATGTCGTTGGGCGCGCAATTAAATTGTCAAATGGCACCCCAGAGACTTACCCATCATCATAATCATGATGAACCTGTGCAGAGGCAAGGGCTTTCCTTTGGCTGCCTTTATGTGGGCAGCCAGCCTCTGCACTGGGACACTGCACAAGTAATTAGTGCACTTGCAGGGCGCGCGCTCACTTGACCGTTGTTATTTCACAGTTATTTCTTATCATACCCTATGACAATTGAAAATATATATCAATGGGTATATTGATATGGGGTAGGTGATAAACTCTTGAGATTGAGTAAAGCAAATGTGTAGAGCAGTGGCTTTAGAGGCAATCCATTGAATTTGTATAGCTAGGATTAATTAATGAAGATCATGCTGGGATTAACTTTAACTTTAGTCTCAAGTGCATCAAAATATTATTAAATATTAATATAAAAACATAAATATGGATTTTCCTCTAGAATAAGCTTAAAGTTGCATGGTATATTAATCGAAATCGCTTGATCGATGATATTGATTATCGATAAATTATACTTTGAACCTATAAGCATATTGTGTAACGAATATACTTTACGTCTTCATTGACTTTTTCTAATTCACGAATAAATATCGTTCATAAACTTGCTCGTAAATAAATCTTGTAGACCTAATATTACTTATGTTTTATGCAAATTTCTATGGAGTGAAAGCCATATCCATTCAGCATCCTCTATTTATCTCTTTTGAATATCCTCTCTAGATGCTTTCGATCTGCGGCTTCATGACAGAGCATCTATGGCTCTATCAGTTACAGTAGAGTCAGCTGGCGCTTGTTTTTCCAGCGCTGCCTTTGTCCATTTGAAGTGGTCTTTTGGTTCGTTTCTGGTTCTTGTTTCTCGTTTTGCTTTGCTGGTCGCTCGTCTCGTTGCTTAGCCGCCTTTGTTGATTCTTTTAAATTTCGCCTTTCAATTATTTTATGCAAATAAGCAAACGGCGCTGAGCACAGATTATGCCAGCTTGACAGAATTCCTTTACATTTCCTTATTCCCCCTCCCCCCCTCTCGCTCTCTTCCATTGTAATGTCTCCATTTCGCACTGGCTCGCCAGCCCAAGCTCCTAATCTTCAGTTTTTCCCACGTAATGGGAGGTTGGGAGAGCGCGCGAGATTTTGTCGCAGGCTGCGTAAAATGCTCGACTCACAATTCAACTTGCAAAATGAATTGTTTGTTATTGTTGTAACTGTATACTGTAGTCCTGCCTGTACTCTCTCAATCCTTGTATTCCTCATATCGCGCCCTGGCATTTCACTTCGGGCGTAATCAACTTAAGTTGGTCAAATGAGTTTGTTACGTTTTGAATGTTTCTTGTCCCGAACAAGGAAAGAGAGAAGAAACTTCAAATGGAAAATGACGGGCAAATGGTTTTCCCTTTCAATTCAATTCAGCGCTCCAGATTTCCTCGAGTTTTCCACCAATTTCCCTGGGTTAATTGCTAAACACCCTTTCGCTAGGCTTGAGCCGCTTGAGTTTGTTGCTTTGTGTGCGGCGCTAATCTCGCTTTGATTTGTCTGCCATGCAAATTGTGCATCCTTTTGGGATTTGTCGTGCATTTGTAGGTGTGTCGCATGTAATTAATTAATGGCATTTCCGCCGAAGCCGCCGTTGCTACGAAGCAATTAAATATTTAATGCTCTATGCGATTTGTGGTGGTGTGTAATTTAAAAGTGATTTTTGCCACGCACAATGTCAAAAGCTGTCACAGTCCCACACACACACACACACACACACACAGACGCACTCACAGCGCAGACCTTCAGACTTGATCCTTTAGGTAGCTCAAGATTGTGGATGATGCTTGTGTGCTCACTCTATCTTTGTCTGTGGACATTCTAGAGATGGGCACGTGTTGATTATGCTTCGTTCTCATTCGCTCTCACTGGTTCGCTCTGTCTCACTCTCTCACTCTCTCTCTTCTCTCTTAAGTTATGTCCGTGCAGATGATGGATTATTTTGTCACTTTCGCTCGAATTGGCTGTAGAGATGAGTTCATTTATATGATTTGTCTTTGTCTCACTGTCCTTATGTCTAGGTATATTTTCTGATTTCTATTGCTCTCTCTCTTTCTCTCTCATTTGCTGTCTGCCTGATTAGCAGATATGAATTGGTTTTTATAATGAGCTTATTTTCCACTTTCAAATATGATAGCAAGTCAAATGATTTGTGTTTTGCTCACTTGGTTTCATCTCCATATATCTTTTTGATTAGTATTGGTTCTTCTCTCTCTTTCTCTTTCCTTTCCTGCCGTGTCATATTACAAAATATGAGCTAGTTTTTATAATGAACATATTTCCGCTCTTGATATATCTCTCATATATTTTTTTTATAGCTGTATTGTATTATTTATTTTCTCATTTCCTTCCACATTTTGTTTTTCTCCTGCTTGCAGCTTGTATGGGATGTTGTTTCCTGCTAGATTTCTTTTGTGTTGCATAGAGTTTTTTCTTATCCTTCCCTCTTTCTCATTGCATGACTTAATATATTTCAAACGCAATAAATTTAACAGCTCTTCATCTTGAATCGTGCTTGTTCGTGTCACGTTAAAAAGGTATACTCGACACGCTATCAGCTCTGACATTCATTTGAAAAGGTAAACTCAAGGCAAAGCGTAAGAGCAAAAATAATTGAGATGTCAGCTGAAATTCAAGTGGACTTTTATTGACTGCTTCCTGGCTCTGAGGTTGCCTTACTGGCTGCCTTGCTGCCTGGCTGGCTACACGGCTGACCGACTGCCCGGTTGGCTCGGCATGCTCCTCAAGTGGCATGCAATGTCAATTCCACACATTCACATTCAGATCGTTGT